GAGGAGAGAGGAGAGGAGAGAAAAGGAGAGGAGAGGGAGGGAGGAGAGGAGAGAGGAGAGGAGAGAGGAGAGAGGAGAGGAGAGGAGGGAGGAGAGGAGAGAGGAGAGGAGAGACAAATTTCCAGCGCAGAACTTGCTTCTTTCGATAGGGTTGTTTCCAGCCCAGGGCCTGTTTCCAACCCTGGGCTCGTTTCCAGCCCGGGTCCAATTCCAGCCAGATTGGGTTTCCAGCCCCAAGTCGCTTCCAGCTAAGGGCTTGTTTCCAGCGTCAGAACACCTTTTTTTTTTCTCGGGCTTGTTCCACCGCTAGGGATTTTCCATTGCAAGGCTTTTTCCACCGCCCAGCTGCTTCCACCCCCTGGCTGGTTCCATTGCTGGGCTTACCACCCGTGTTTGGCGTTGGAAGTGTGCAACTGGTTTGTTGAATGAGCATTGCGTGCAAAACGAGCTGTGAATTTTCAACGTGTAATACACGAAAGGGAAATGCATTATGGCTCAACTGTCTGGCTCAACAATACAGCGAAGATAACATTCGTTGCTTCCTTCAGGATGCGCTGGCACGTCATCTTCAGTCGGAGTCCAAAATGGGGTCGTTTCACGGCTCCTCGGGCGCCCGATGTTGGGACAGCCTGAATTGGCTTTTTTCCTACACCCAAAAGCGACATGCTGCGAATCACATTTGGTCCATCAATTTACGATCGACGAAGATGAACCAAACCGCCATATCCAGCCGTGGAGCAGTTAAACTTGCGATTTTTAGCCCTGGAAATTTAATCAAAAACGCAAGAAACACCTTGGAATCCTTAAGAATTTGCCTACCTACCTACCTACCTCCCTACCTACTTACCTAGCTAGCTACATTTGCAAGAGCGTGCATCAACAAACCCTTCGGCACGTCCGCGCCATTCTCTGATTTCTTGTGGCTGGCCACACGGGGGTCGGCAGTGAATCAAATCCAGTTATATCTCTCCCAGGGAGTCGCAGTACATGGCAGATGTAATGAGTCGCAACAAACTGGCACGATTCGACCACCACAGTCGAAACCGGCATTGCGTGCCCGTTCAGGTGTTGAGTCAGGGCATGTGCAGGGTTAGTTTGCATCCTGTGGACGCTCCGTGGGCAAACCTTTGGGAAGCCGGGTGTAACACGTTTACTCCTGCTACCCATGTGAGGCATCAACCCACTTTGTGGTTTGCATTTTTTGTGACGGAGGCTGCAATTGACCCGTCGGTACGTGCACATGCAACAGTTCTTGCGCGCATGTTTGGTGACAGGTATGTCGCCGCTCTCGTGACGCGAAACGGCGAAAATTTACGCAGACACACGATTTGCCCTGAGACCAAAGCGGGGGGAAAATTTGTTTTTTTAGATGCATTGCGCCCAACATGTGCGGCCACATTCGCTACTTTCGCACCGCTTGACCATTGAAACAGAAAACGTTGAGCCCGCGACTTCTTGTCTGGCTACTTTTGTGTTGTAGGCCGCTCATAGCGGTAAGAGAAAACAGCCTATCCGAATCCACCGGCTTTGATGAGGACATCCCCTTGTCCAAAGTCTTTGTTCCGCAGATCTCGAACCATCTTTTCGGGCAGATTCTCACACTTTGTCAGTTCGCGTGCAGGGGCTGGACAATTTTTTTTGGCGTTGCGGGCAAACTTCGAGGGGGGCAAAATTTCCTCAATGAAAGCCCCACGTAAGAAACCTCGCTGAGTTGTGGACAACATCGCTTTGCAGGACTAACCTGAGCTGCTCAATACCAGAAGCGGCTACATGCCTCCAAGGATTCCAGGGATCGAAGTCGCTTTTGGGTGTCAGATCCGCATGCTCCTCAGCCGATCCTGTGCCAAGAGGTAGGTCAACAATTTTTTCTCTGAGATGAGCATCGCGGGATGTACCGCGTTCACGTTTGCGTCAGTTCTCAGATGTGCATACCCCTAACATACGGGGCCATGCAAATCCCAACCAGTCCTTCGAAGAAAATTGTGAGAAGGCCTTTGTTTGCAACAGTCATGTTGTTGTTTGTGTGATTGTTTTCATCAGTGCTGTCAGGTGAGAGTTTGCGAGTGATTATCAGTTGCGCTTACGTCCATGACGATTTTTCAACATAACGATTGATGCGTATGTTGATGGAATGCTCTGCAGTTGCCAGTCCTCCCGAAAATCGCGGAAGTGGAAGTAACGCACGTGGGATTTATGTATATGTCCCAGTAGAGCCCCCCATTAGGAGCCTGAGGTGCAGTTTAGAGTGTGATAATGTTGTTAGGCATGCTTATCATACCAATGCTCAAGCCACAACAGACCGTAGAAACGAAACCCGTGCCCAGGTTGGGTAAGCCACAAAGATAAAATCAAAACATTCAAAAGCGCAAGCAGCACGATCATTAATTGAGACCAGCATGCATGCTGAAGCGAAACCTTTCACCAACAATTTCACTAACTATGGGCCTCAGGTGTCTGGTTTATCGTTTGACGGGTTTCATATTCATGCATGGCACAGGGCACGCAATCGACTGGGCTAATCTGAAAACAGCGCGGCAACCAACTACCAAAGGTATTTTTCCTGGGGTGGATTGCCGACTGGGTAACATGCTAAGTCATGTTGGGATGGAGTTGTGCAGCCATTGCGGTGCGAAGTGCAGGTGCTGAATGCAATCGTGATTATGACAGTATTTGACCGAGAACCCCATGCAAGGTATCCCATTTGATTGGTTTACCTTTGAACCGCATCTGTGCTCACGCATTGGTTTCAGTTGGTGGCCGAACATGCAGCAAGTATATTTGTATATTTTCATTGTACAGCATGGGACATGAAAACACATCTTCAGCTTTGCAAGGCTGATGCACAAACTGTTGTGGCGCTGCAAGCTCATGTACGGACACAAATGATTGCACGTATGACAAACGCAGCATCACAGCACCACGCCTCAACAGATTTGTTTTTCCCATACCTTGTTTGATACACTGTGCAAATAGCATGTGAGCAATGTGGCTACAAAGCTGTATTGTGCGTGGTGGTGCCAAGCACCATGGAGGACAACTTAACATGCATTTCTCAAAAACCATGGACTCTTTGCAAGACATGTGGGGATTGTCAAGGATCTGGCGAGTGAGTTCCAAGCCGACTTTTTTGATGCAGTTAAGGCGCTCCACGGGAAAGCTTGTGCTATTCTTTTTTGTCTCGTACTTCAGGTTTTGGAAGATTTTTCGTCTTCGGCATGGAGCCCAGCTTTCAAAAGGTAATGCGGGGAGTTTTGTTTTGTGTTGCAACTTGATCAGTCTTGTGCCTTCATTACGTTGTGCAAAAGGTTTTGTGCTAATGTTGTGCTGAGGACAGCGTTCTTAAGGATGCTATGGCGGACATTCGGCAGCGCATCACAGCGAAGATGTGCGCCATGCATGGCCGTGTTGGGCATGCCAAGAGATTGCTATGATATGAGACATGTCTAGGAAATCCACAAGTTCAATATCACTCTGTGTTGAAGCTTAACAGTATGGCAACCTGCTGGTTGGGGCCTTGAATCGCTTGTTCGGATTGCCAGCCTAGATGCACAACCTGCATCCCGACAGACACAGGCTCACAGATAGTGACAGCTGCAAAATCGCTGCTACTCCAGCTTCAGCTTGCAATTAGGTTTCCACTACGGTGCTCTGGGCTACAGCGTGTGTGCACTTGCTAGATGTGCTTTTGTCTGCCCCAGCCATGAACGTGGAGATATGTCTTTTGCTGATGGTGATGGCGTAGCTGTTTGTCGATACTGCCTTGATGGAAGTGGTTTGCTCCCTGGGCCAGTATGTGCCTGTCGGGGGTCTGCTGGCTTGGTGCATTCTCGGTGTCTCGTAGATTTAGCCACAAGCCGATGGCCCAAGTTGACACTGTGGCGAGCGTGCCCCATTTGTGGCCAAGACTACGTTGGAGCAGCCCGTCTGGCATTGGCCCAGGCCATGTATTCCAGAGTTCGTTGGCGGCCGGTGCAACGGGCGTGCTGGCGGCTGCGCGATTGGGCCATTCAGAATCTTGCTTGCGCTCTTCAAGAAGTGGGCAAGCACGATCAAGCTGCCCAGCAGGCCGAAAAATCGATTGCCAGCTTCAAAAAACGAAGGAAGGCTCATCATCCACGTGCCCTGCGAATTTCCACTGTTTTGGCAAGCTCGTTGAGAGAACTGGGCAGATATGGGGATGCCGTCAGATTGCAGCGTCACATACTCGCCTTGCAGCGACGACTGCTTGGAAGCGAGCATCCTGATGCCATTTCGTCTTCCAACAATCTTGCGAGCTCACTGAGCTTGTTGGGTGGCGTGGCTTCTGTACCTGCTTTGCTGATCATGCTTTGTTTGTGGATACGTTGAAGTCATGAGTGAGCATTTAGATCCATATTTACTGTTGATTCTCAGGCAAGCATGATGAAGCAATCTTGTTATCTCGGCAGACACTTGACGTGATGCGGAAGTTTGCGGGTGAGGAGCTTTCATATGCAATTCATTTGCAGCTTCACGGGCTGGTCAAGTGTGCAGTGCTGATTCACAGCATTTTGTCCCAGCCCTCAGAAGCATCCGGACACCCTGATTGCCGCGAGCAACCTGGCGGTCCTTCTCCAGGAGGACGGCTGGTATGAGGAGTCTGCTCAGGCTGGACATCATGTGCTGGCTATCTGATACCTGATGAGTTCTGCTGGCTTGAGGGCTGCTTACTCGGTGCCTGCAGGTAGCTAAAACAACTTTGGACGTCCAACAACGCTTGCTCGGGCCAGAGCATCCTGATGTGCTTTGCACGACGAATAACCTGGCAGCAGCTCTGCACATGCAGGCTCGCGTTGCTGATAGCTAGCTTGCTCTTTCCTATCATGTTTGATCGCCTGGCCCTGAAGGGGAAGGAGGCAGAGGCCATCAGCTACCAGAAGGAGAAGTAAAACTAGTGATTGTGCAATAGCTGTTTGTTGGCAACATGAGAAGGCCTGTGATAGCAGTGTTCGTGCGATGAAAGAAAACGGGAAGGGATGCTAAGTGGCAGCATGAAGATTTTTGTTTTGGTTTCAACGGTGCGGAAACTACCATACAGTGTCGCAGGAGATGCTGGAAATCAGGCGAAGAACGCTTGGCTCGGCAAATCTCGAGACGCTTGTGGCGGCCCATAACCTGGAACCTTGTATGCAGCATGATCCGACAACATAACCTATTGCATGCCCAGGAGTGGATGTGTGTTGCAACTTGTGGCCACAAATGCTTGTAAGTGAGGCTGGAATGCTGCAGCAGCAAGGCTGCTATGAAGAGGCTTGTCATGCCAATCAAATGTCTCTACTTCCTCCACCTGCTTGATCGCATGTGGATTAGCTTGCTTTGCAATGGTCAGCTCTTTTGCAGCTGCAAAGTTGGAAGGTCAAGTTTGGACATGGTGGACCCTCACGTTTAGAACAGACGTTTTGCAAGCATTGCGTAGGCACTTAAAACACAAAGGGCATGCTGTCGCGTACCGATGGTGGTTTACAGAACAGGGCGTGTTTCATGTTTGACATTTGACAGCAGCAAGAACAACCATGTCAAAGTGTCTTTTCCGAAGAGCAAGGTGCAGTTTTCGCTGATGACAACATTCTGTTGTTGGCAAATGGGATCCCACATGGAGGTGTCTGAGTCCTGCTAGGCAAGAACTGTTTTGCGCACTTCGCGTGTAATCTTATCCTTTCCGATCCAGAATCTTGAGACGCTGAATGCTGAACTATGAGCTGGCTGTAACGATCCTCTTCTGTTTATGTTGACAAGTTGAGGTCATGGGAGGTGCCGTACTCACAACTTGAAGACTAGAGATGGAAGCAGGCTGCTGTGCTCCAGCGTGACACCCTCGAGGCCATTCTGACAAACCACTGCGGTTCTTCGGCTGCAGCCGCTTTTTGCTTCTCAGCTGCGCAGGTGTTGGGTGCTACGTTGGGCGATCGTCATCCTGACACCATGTCTTTGAAGAGTTCCCTAGCCATGACACTTGAGAAGCTCCCAGGATGCAGCAGGTCGCAGGTTGAAATGTCAGCTTGTATGAACGGGCAAGTAAGACTCAGGCAAGGCTTTCTCGCCGAGGCACACACGTTGGCTTTGCAAGCTGCAAGGGCTGCAGCTGACAATAAATTGAACGTGCATTCGTCATGATCATCAGGCCGAGCAAGCCGCCTGTGAAGCATACGCAGAGCAGAAGGAGGTCTCATAATGTTTGGCTTCGTCAGCTCAGATCTCTAACCTTCTTGTGTGAGCAGCGAGTCTCGTTTCCCTGCCCACTGGTTGGCTGGATGCAGGGCTTGCATGGCTTGGCTTGGCAGGTGCTTGGCGCGCATCATCCCCGAACTCTATGCGGCGCGCACAACCTTTGCACTATCCTTCGTGAGAAGGCCAAGGTCTACGTACCGCAGCCGAAGAATTGTAATGTGTTTTGGAGCCTGGCAGGGATGCTATAAACAAGCATCCGTCTTGCTCACAGAGACTGTGGAGGTGCTGGGGCAGGTGGCCGTGGCTGCCTAGATCCACAGCCATGAAAAGGGGCAGTTGGTGTCTGACTCATGACAGGTTTGCGGCCAGCAACATCCTCGCACGCTAGTCTCAGCAACTTGACAAGGTTCTTCATGGTAGATGAGTTTGGTGCAGTTTCATTTCATGCTCTTGTTGTCCGTTCTGAGGCTTGCACACTTGCAAACCTCTACCTGAAGTTGGGCAGGTTCTTTGCACTGTACTGTAGGCACTGCACGCATTAACGAGTGCCAGTGGTGCCGCTTCTTTTTGCAGGTTCAACGAAAGCCTGAAGCTCGTGGCGCCTGCACTGCATGCGCAGGCATCCGGCGCATCTGTTTTGGGATGATGATGTGACTTCTTAGATGTATAAATATATTTCATTTAGGCTTCTGCGGAAGGGTGATGCTGGGTGCAAGCTTCCGTGCTGTGTTTTTGTGAAGCTCAAGAGCCTGTAAATATGCTGGAGCTGTGACGCTTAGTATCGCAATGCTTGCCCAGGAGAGGATGTTGGGCTGCAAGCATCGGGATGTGCTAGCAAGTGCCAGCATTTTGGCTGCTGGCCTGCGTGCCTTAGTGCATTGGGACTGCCTTTCGTTGGTGCCCTGTGGCAACATTTGCAGTGTTTTGAATGGCAGAACAAAAGCTGAGGTGAATTTGGGCATGCAAACTCCTCCGCAAATCTCCCTGGTACAGTACTCGAAGCGTTGCCTATCTCAAAGCGTCTGGTACTTTGTCTGCAATTGGGCAGCTGGACTATCACTTGCTAATTCCGAACATGTCTGAGCTGCAAACAAGGCACGTACACCGATGCAGACTGCACTCTGTTTAGCACGTTGGGTTGTGAAGGTGCAGCGGAAGGCTGGCCCTTTGGTGCAATTCATTACAGGCTGTGAGTGCCGATGCTTTTGCAGGTCCTTGGCCGCGATCTCAATCTTTGGCTTGTCGTCTATCAAGTTGTGGTATATGCACCACCACATCAGCAGGTCATCAGCACCCTTCCACACTGGACTCCATGTTGCTGATGTCAGAGTGCTTGCTTGATTTGGACCGCCCGCAGGAGCATGTGACAGACTGACTCCCTTTGATGAGCATGATGTTCTCTTGTGGGTTTGTGAGGAGGCAGCCAGGGCTGCTCGCGCTGCCTTGCGATTGCGTGTCAAGCTCTGTGGACAAAGACATCCCAAGACGCACCTCAACTGAATGTACTTGGCTTTGTGGTACACAAGCTGGATTCTAGCAATGATGTTTATGCAGCGGACGGGCTATGCTCGATCCTGCACTTCCTTGCTTCAAGATGAGAGATTAGATTGGCTACGCTTTTGCTGCTATTTGCAGCGTGCAACTTGACGACAGAGGCTTTCAGCAGCAGTCGTTCGTGCTGCCACTTTGAGCAAACAACACCGGAGTGGCAAGGCAGCACACCCAACAGCCATGCTAATGCTGCTCCCGGCTGTGCCTGAAGTGATGGTTCACTTGGAAGGCTCGTGCCCTGCTCCGGCGTGCGTTTAGAATCCAGAGCCAGGCCTTGTACCTAAGATCATCTCTTGTATTGGGATGTTGCCTGCGCGAGCGTATGTGCTAGGTGCATGGTGTCCTTCATCCACAGACACTTAGCACCGCCAGTGAGTACCTTGCATTGGGCCACTGGCCTGCGCATCGTCATCTCTGGCGCGTGTGGCAGGCTATGGAGAAGCTATAATTAATAATGAAGGATGAAGCTGTGAACTAGGATCACCCGTGAAGGTACAGCGACAAGTCCTCGGCCGAAAGCACCCAGATGCTTGCGTCACTGCGCAGCGGTGGGAGCAAGCAAAAGCGAAGGCACCAGACAGCCATAGCTTTTAGACTTCCAGTGTTGGGTGAGCGTCCTGATCAGACTGCCGTGCCTGCTGCCGCTGTTGGCCATGACAAGCTCAAAGCAAGCAAAAAGGGGCATCTGAGAATTTGCCCGAGGAGACATGCAGGCATGAAGGCTTGAAGGCTTGTTGCAAGAGCTGGCATGTCAGAACCTGGTTGGAAACGCAGGCTGAACAGTTTAGCTTCCACCAATGGTTTGGGTTTGCCTGGCTTGCATTGATGGGCAGGCATCATGAAAGGTGTGATGGGTTCGTGAAGTTTATTGCAGTCTGCATATCACCCACCAACTTGAAGGCACGCAAGTAAGAGACTCAGGTACGTTTGCGCGCCCAATTTTTGGGGCGACCTGCGCAGTACCCTGAAGGCGCCTTCAGAGTCAGAGAGACATTATGCGCAAGAAAGTCAGTTGCAGAGGAGGGTTGACGATGTCACGTCTTGCTAGGCAATCGAGGAGCAAAGAAACGAGCGGACCTCCAAATCCAAAGCTCAGCAGGCCTCGCGGACAGCATAAGTTCGGTCGATGTGTCACCTGAGTTGAAAACGCAGGCTGTGCGTTTTGCCTGCATTACCATTCAGTCTGGGTGATGGAATCGCATTTTGAACATGGAACGAAAACACAGCATAATCAGAAAAGGAGGCAGGTGGCCGCAGCGGAAGCGCGCCCACTTCTTCGCCGCTTCGCCCCCGCTATACACCCCAATATCCCCGATTCTAGCCTTTAAAAAACCGAGACGCCTCACAACCACCGAAATCAAAGTGGGCTGGGTCTAGCCCCTGCACGTTCCAGAAGTAGTGATTCCCCCCCATACCTCCTTGGACTGATCAGCAAAAATGGGCCTTAAACCCTGGTCCTCCTGGAAGGAAGCTTGCGTAAAAAGGCTTTGACTGAAAGCCTGGTATGTGAAGCAGTGAAGCACAAAGACAATGAAGCACGATGAGGTTCCAGTTCTCGTGTCAGAGTACCCGCATCCCCTCTCGTTGTACGCCTCTTGTTGGAATCGACCCTGCCTGAGTCTTCGTGATTTTAGGCTTGCTGCCCTTGCGAATTCAAAAGATGTGAGAGCATCAAGCAGAGAACAGGAAATCAGCAGGCTTGTGGATGACACCAACGCTTGGGAATAAAAGGTTGCCCTGACGAAGCAGGGTGCGCTTGAGGTAGAAGCAGGCGAGTAAAATGAAACAAGTTAAACGTACGAGAGCCCGACCGTACCGCAATGCAGCACTGAGGAAAAAGGAGATGGTTCTCACTAGGTGATGGCATGACGTTACATTTGCGTGAACGGGTTGGCTGTTTACAGCAGGCCGGTTGTGGTGCTTTGAAGTGCGCTGCAAACCTGTGCAGTTCGGTTTCTTGACGCCTCCATCAATTGCTGATTGCAGGTGCTGAAGCACGTTGCTCGGTTGGAAGTGAAGTTCTGGGCCAAGGCCAGCATCTCCACCAAGCTTAGTGGCATGTTTTCGATCCAGTCATGCTAAGGCAAGCGTTGCGATGCTAAAGGAGCTTGACCCAGAATCCCGAATAGAAAGGATAGTCTGTGCCTGAGCTTGCGCAACACCGCCGACTTTGAATCGCAAAGCTGCGCTATGGGCCTAGGTTGATTGGTTGCAAACCTTTGGCTTAGAAGAGGAGGTGCCCTGTGGACCCATTGCCTCACCATCGATTGATTGTCGCATTGAGCGCGCCTGACACAGCTGTTTGAGGGTCTGATTGGACGTGCGCACACACTTACACGCCAGATGGCCTGCCACTTGATTTGAAGGAAGACAGCTCCTCAGGGCCTGCAGTCTTGTACCAGGCGCAGCTGGATGAAGCTGCCGGCGAGGTTTTCCTTGCCTTTCTGTAGCAGGTGCTGAGTGATGTGACCCTGCAGAAGGCCACATTTGCTACACTGCTAGTGATGTACGATGTCCTACCTGCCTTCACGAGGACTTTGACGTTCCTCAGAGAGAGGCTTTGTCCATTGCGGTGAGGGAGAACCTTCAAAAGTTTCCAGTGGAGATGCAGGCAAGCCAACTTCGATGCAGCACTGTCTGGCTTTTGATAGCGCAGGCTGTTCTCGAGCGCGTCGGAAGTGTCACTGGTGGACCGCCAGTCCCTGTGTCAGACTGGAGAAGAAGGCTAGCGGCCAGCCGGACTCAGTTCAGGGCACTTGCTTCTGTCTTTCTTTGTAATCCTCGCGTAATGTTGTGACGCACAAGCCCACACCCTCAGCCACCTCAAACTCTACCGCCGCCAGGTCATACACGAGAGTCAAGTAAGGAACAAGACCGAGTAGTAAGCTTGGGCTTATGAGTATGCTCATCAACGCTTGGAAAGTTACCCCGCAGCCCTTAGAAATGTTGGAAGGTTTCGATGTAGCAAAGCAACAACCTTGCCTTCAAGGTCAACGTTATCATGGTTAAGGTGAATTTGTGAGAGACGTTTTGTTTATCTTGGCAGCACGACTAGCCTTTCAAGAAACAAAGAGAACCGGCTCAATTGACCTTAAGCAAACAGGACATCTTAATCGGCGTGCAACGCCAAACCCACAGCCTCGAGTTAACCTAATAGTGCGGTGACACATCAGACCAAACCATTTATGTTCCCCTGTCATATCTTTGGGAGAAGCCTACATGTGGACCCTTAGCCCCACCACCTAAAGCCTGATACCCAACACACGAAAAGCCATAGACCACGAAAACCAAACCCTGTCAACTTGAAGGCAGAACTGTTTTTGACTCCTCGTTTCAAGTTCATTCGACTGCTTGTGTACAGGCACAATCAAACCACGCAGCTGGAGTCGCCAACTCTTGGCCCAGGAGCAGCGTCATCTACTTAAGTTGATCTCTTTGAATGCGACCTGATATCACGATTCATCCTGTTGGATAAGCGATGCACCTCTGAGGCTTCTCTTTGGTGTCGGGTCCGCCCTCCAAGTTAACTGCCGCTGAATCCAGACTGTGAACCTTGCTATAGTAGTAGCCAGCTTTGCACAAAGGCCTGAGCTGACCAATGAGCACGCGCAAACAAGGTGCGGCCTCCACCTGGATCACACAGAAACAGGTACACAAGTTGCCACAGGGCTTGTTTGTTTGTTTGTTTGTTCCCAGTGTCCCGAACGTGATTGAGCTCACGGAGCCCGATGGACCAGATTCGGTGGCAGAGGTCCAGGACATTCGCAGGACAAAACTCTTGAGCTGGCAAGAGTTCATCCTTTCAGGATTTGACGGCGGAGGAGGAGGCGAGTTGTGCCACTGCTGCATCATGATGTTTGCTTGCTTCTCTCTGGAGGCTGCTAACACGGAAATCCGCCTTGCACTTTGGCGGGAATTGGCTGAACAGGAAAAGAAGGCCGGGTCGCAGGATCGGGCTGGAAGGAAAGACGTGCTTAGTTTGGTGCCCGGTCATGGCCTTAAGAATGGTACTTCGCAGCTTTTCTCAGTTCTCACAGTACGCAACACGTGGGCAAGCGTAGGTGGAGTCATGATATGAATCCGCCGAGCCAGGGTCAAAATTAATGCCATTGTAAAGTCGTAAAGGTGGTTGTTCAATGGGTGGAGAGAGATGTTCGGAATCTCTTTTTTGGGGAGGGCCTTGTCTCTGTACATGAAGGGCATGAAGAAGAGACGGAAGAGAGAGTTGGTGTTGCGGAGTAGCCCTTGTGCAACCCTTTGGGATCGCGCAGTGCGTAGAAGAAGAAGCCAAGAAAGCAAGAAAGATAGCTGACCCACGGACTCGCTTGCGGGCTTGGGGTTCGCCCCGGCAGGGCTCTAGGGTCCTGCATAGCCCACAGAAGAAGAATGAAAGAAGAAGAAGAGAGCGATAGAAAGAAAGAGAGCCATTTTGGCTCAAGTCTCTGCCGCTTCGATCTCCCTGTGGGGGGAGAGGGGCACTGCTTCACCGACCTCTCGGGGGTCGTGCGGCGGGGAGGCTTGACCAAACACGTTGCAGCCGTCTTCAAGACAGCCTAAGGGGGAGTGCGCCCCTCCGCGGGCAGTGAATCAGAGCCTCTTAGCGACTGGCTCGAGGGGAACTAGCAGTGGGATGGTAGGCTCTGGTTTATGGAAGGATCTCACCTCGATAAGCCCCTGCCACGCAGTACGAACTCTTGGGAAGTGGAGCTGCCACCGTGTTGTTTGTTTGGGGATAGAGGGTCCTTCGGGGAGGGAACCCGGCTCAGGCTGCTGATGGGATCAGGACTTCGCACCTCTTGGATGTCGGGTGTGTGGTTTACTCCCCTGCTTTAGACTTTGCTTTGAGAAAGCTTCAGCCATGGGAAGTGAAAGGGAATGCGTCGCTTGCACTATGCGAGGGAACACGAGAAACGGACATAGACGATGCAGTTCGAAGCAAGCCAGACTATGACGCAGCTGATGCAGACTGTTACCATATTGGGTGCCGAGCGCGCAAAATTTAGTGCAAGACAAACTATGGCTCAACCGAGGCAGACTGTTACCATTTTGGGCGCCAAGTGCGCAGAATTCAGTGCAGGCAGACCCTTATTGATACCAAATATACCAACCGAGACCAACCGATGCGTTGCAAGTTACGTGACAGGGAAGATTCCTTGCAAACGTTGGAAGTGTTTAAGCTGGAAGTGGCCCGACACGGTACGAACCAGCAAAAGAGCCAACCGTTCACAAGCGCATGGAGATGTACTGGGCCACAGTGAGCAGGTTAGGGGGAAGGATAATCCGGTGCCAGGGCCGGGTGAGACCTTATGCAAACATACCAGCCACAGGGTGTTTGACACCATGTGCGCTGGACCTTAATGGAGCTAGGTTCTCGAAGCTGTTTTCGCGCCTGCTCCAGAAGCATACTTTCCGCGGCTGCGCAGCTTTTGGAGCTCATCCAGCTAAACGCGATCGGATTGCCACGATTTTTATCCGCGTCCTTGTGGCGCAACTAGCCTTGCAAGGGAACGAAAGCTGTTAAAATGGGCTAGGTTCAAAGACCTGTTAAAGTAGAGTTGGCGAACCAGCTCTACTCTCAAGTCACTCGGGTGGCAATTTTCTGCATCTCGCTCGGGTTGCTGGTCACGATTGGGAATCCTGCCACAAGTTTGTACTGGTTCACCAGCTTCTGTCTTGAGTTGCGTGCATTTTGCGTTGGTTACAAGGTAGACTTCCATGTCCGCTGTCGCGCTGGGCAACGCCCTAAGCTGACGCGCTTTTGGGTGTCACAGAATGTCTTCGCGCACTTGTCCTTGTTTTGTGATGGGAGTCATTCATTCCGACAAACCTTCCAAAATATCAACGCAGTCGAAGAAGGCCAGCCTGAGCCAAACAGAGCCTCCATGATTTCCGTCGCAGTCCAACATCGACCACCGAAAATGCGGTAGGAACAGAAAACTCCACGCACCCGCGCGCAATCACCTGGCACTGAGATCCTACGGTCATCCAATTTTATCTCTCAGCAGTCAGCCCCCGGGGTAGTGGGCGTGCAGCATTTTCTTTTGCGGCGCTTTTGGACCAGGAGGACGCTCAAGGTCCAACTTTTCTAGGCAAAAGGGGCGTAGGCAGGTAGCGCTAAGAGTTTTTCATTTCTCGTGTTTTGGTGTGTGTTGTGAATCTCGTGCTCACCCGTTGCCAGTACTGCTCCTATGCCAAGACTGTTAGCCCACTACAAGCCCTTAAGTAGATCGCTTTCTACGTAACAGAAGTTTTTGTCAGCCAACGCGCACGCACTTACAGCATTAGCCTTGAGTCATTGGCACTTATTTGAGGACATGTGGACCGCAGTCACGACCTCTCAGCCTTGGAGACTTTATAAGCGTGCTTCCCTGCTTTCAGGTTCAGGTTCATCGCGAAGGCCGCAGCCCTGGATGCTCTCGGATGCTCTTGCTTGAGCTTCAGCTTGGGAGCCTCTCTTTCTCAGGTCGGTGTCATTGGAGCCCAGTCTCCAGCTCAGCCGCGCTTTCGCTTGAGCCTTGGCAACTCAGACAGCCTGTCAGGCCGCCGCCGTCGACAGCCTTTTGCGCGCAAGCCTTGGAACCAACCATGCTCTCGCTTGAGCTGGGTCAGTTTTTGGACCACACAGGCCGCAGTTCCTGCGCAGCCCCCCGCAGAGGGTCGGTGATTCAGCCTCCTTCTCGCTTCTCAGACTTCAGCTTTTCAGGCCGCTTTTGACCGCGTCTCGCTGCCTTGGCCTTAGCTTGCTCTCGCTTGAGCCTCAGCGGACCAACCCTCAGACCAGACTGAGCCTAGCCTTCTGCACTTAGCCTGCAGTCGCGTAGGACTTGCCAGTCATCTTCCCCATCATCACCGTCTTCTGCCCTTGCTGATGCAAAGCCTGGGGTCCAGTTTACTGCGCTGAAACTCGTCAAGGGCAGACACCAGTCTGTGAGCAGGCGGTGCCACCCTCGGTTTTTCAGCACCTTAGCTCTAGCCCAAATGCAGCCCGCTTGACGAGCAACCATAGCAAGGCCACGCTGACGCCTCAGCTGCTCAGAGGAAACCCAACGGCTCAGAACTATGGAGGCTGAGGCCGGGGCACTGTAAAATGGAGCGCAAGAAGCGCATTACACACTGCAGTGAAAACACAGCCATGGCTCAAGGCGAGGAAGGCTGCGTGGGCATGAGTCTGGGCAATATGCAAGGCTCAGACTGTCAGCTACGCTATTGCAAGCAGAAAGAATGTTACCTGGACTGCAGCGGCAGAGGGCACGTCTGGGTGAGCTCGGCGGGCTCTGTGGTCTGAAGGCTTCCTGTGGCGGAGGGCCTTAGGATACGATGAGGCAAATGTCGACGGCTATGTTCACATTGCTGATGAGGTGCTTCGAAGTCTCATTGT